TCAGAAGGGATTTCAAGACTGAAAACGGTATGTAAAATTTCTTTCTTTTTTTTTTTTTCTTAATTTTAGGCTATTTCTACAACATTAGATTAGGATAATGGAGAGGGAGGGGCAATCCATTGTTTATACCGTTTTATTTTAATCCATACCTACGGCTATGATCATCAATATTATACTATAACGTGTGGATTGAAGATGAAAGAAAACAAGAACTTCTTGGAGTTCGCCTTCAAATGATCAGAAGGAACTTTATTCCTCTCTTATGATTCTGATTTCCATCTGTTTGTGCAGATTAGCATGATCATTAATGAGACTCTAAGACTCTATCCCCCAGCAATCTACGCAAGAAGAACAACAAAGGAAGGAGCAAAATTAGGGAACTACAAGCTTCCTGCTGATCTAAACATATCTATTGCAATCCTAGCAGTTCACCATGACCCTCAGATATGGGGAGATGATGCCCATCTTTTTAATCCAGAAAGATTTTCACAAGGGGTTTCTGGAGCAACCAAGATCAACAATCCAGCAGCATTTTTGCCTTTCAGCCTTGGACCTCGAACATGTGTTGGCTCGAATTTTGCAATCACTGAAGTAAAGATCGCACTGTCAATGATTTTGCAGAGATATGCTTTCACACTCTCCCCAAGTTATGTGCACTCTCCCGTACAGATGTTTGCCCTTATGCCTCAACATGGGGTACAAGTGGTACTCCATGTCCTCTAATGTGTACATTGGGTTTCTTTTGTAGTCTGACTTGAATCAAAGCATTATAGTCCTTTTAGTTAAAAAATTGCTATGAGTCACGATTTGTTTCTTTTTAACATCTTATTAAGCTTATATTAGTCTTAAATTTTAAAAAAAAAATGTAGAAGAAAGACAGTATAATTCGTTTCATGCAGTGAATTGAACAAACTGGTAGTGTCCGCAAGAGTTTAAATTTCTTGGTTCGTAAATTACGAAAGGTTCAGGTCAGTGGAGATCCTCTCGGGCATAGGCTCTGTAATTGAAGGCAGGCGTTTTGCCTTGGACAAACACGATGTGGATGTAATTTAGATCCCAAGAGAAGTAAATAGAGTTGTACATAATTTAGCACATTTTGTCAAGTTGGCCAACATTTTTTGGAACTACACTCTATAGTCTTTGTAACGCAAATGGTGTTGGACAGGTTCTAGTAATCTCTTTAATAAAATTGTCTACTTTTTTTCTTCAAAAAAAAAAAAAAGGTTTAAATAGATTGAAATTTCTCATGTCTCAAAGTAATCAAATATTGTTAATTCAACCTCTGGAGCATAGTTATTAAATTCAGCTCGTAGCTTAGTCAAAAGAGGTGACCGACTCACCGGTTCAATCGCGAGTTACACAATAGCTTTATTATATATTATAATAATATGTTTTAAATTATAAAAATAATAAAATTTTTAAGTTGACAGTTCAATCGGTAATTTTTTTTTTCTGATTCATTGATTGAATCTTCAGATCGTTGATTGGTCAACGAATTTAATGCTTAACCGATCTATTAGTGATCCAACCCGACATTTTGACCGATTCATCAAGTTGACCGATTGGACCATCGAGCCGGACCATGTTTTATAACTATGCTCTCGAGACATCCCCCTACATTGCCAAAGACATTTTTTATGTTTGTACACATGAAGGCATCTGGGCATATTTCCCCTATTATTTTGAGGGACATGAAGGTTTCTGCTTAATTTCCCATGCCGTTGTATATATAATGCAAATTTCATTTGTTAGCACCCCAACCATCATCCCTATTCTACATTCTTTTATATGATCGAAAGCTTGCATACATTATAATCTTTTAGTGTGATCATGTTCTGTCCAATTGAAGGAAAAATTGATCAAAAATCAACTACCACCAAAACTTAACAACTTAGAATGACACCTTAGATGTGCTACGCTACCCCTTGACAACTTGATTGCTTAATTTATCAATAAACCGAAGATTTGACAAGATTAGGAATATTTTAATCAATAATTTCATACTTTGCAATCTGTTAATTAAAACTTACCAGATGAGATGCTATTGAACACAATCCCTGAATTTGCAATGACAAATAATCATGCAGTAGCTGCAAGATCCTTCTAACATATCATTTAGAACAGAACATTTTTCCCTAATGACTTGTTAATGAATCAAACAAACAGTAATACTTTAGGCCACTTGGCATGAAACTTCGTTATTATGAAAATAAATTTCTCATTGAAATTATTCCAAAACAAACTCCATTTCACATTCATGAGCCCCCAAAATTGATCTCAATATTTCGGTATTTTCGACCGACAGTAATATGTGTGTGTTGCATTAAGTATTAACTAAGCAAGTCATTTGGTATTTGATTAGTTAAGGATTCCAAGACTAATTCCAAGGGATAGCGGCCGCTGTTGGGCTCCTCAAATCTCAATCAGATAGTAATTTACAACCGAGATAGTTGTTAGGGCATTGCATCAGTTAAGGACAATAACCAATAATTAATATCTCCAAAATAGTGGGACCAAATTTGTTGGTTGGAAAACAAGAAATAATTTTCGTCACAATCATTTGTAGCTAAGCAGTGTGAAGTGTCTTTCATTCATGTCTGAACCAGAAGGAAGACTTGCTTTTTAATACCAAATGCCACCAACATTTTTGGGATATAATCAAGAATCAATGGATGAGGATGGATCAAATGGCCCCTCACATGCCTTGCTGCTAAAGACAGGACAAAAACAACCAAGAGATCGAGGATGTCTGGCTAGCTGGCTAATTGATCACCTACTGCAGTCTTGTTCTATCTTGGATTAAATATGTTTAATACCCTTGAAAGTTTTGGTTTTGTCGGCCAGGTATCATTCAATAATTGAAACTCCTAAAATTATCTGAGAACTGATGACTCCTTTTACACATCGAACGATGAATCGATGATACTCAGAAGGTACTATAAAACTACCCTTGAGATTAAGCCCTTCTAGACGAAGTTTATTGATGTGCAAATTAAATTACCCATGACATGCAGCTAAAATACATGCAGGCAACGATGCCAATGGCTTCAAAGACAATTAATTAAAAATAAAAATAAAAACAAAAAGAATGACTGAAAATGAAATGTATTAATTAAAAAAACATCGAAGCTGTTATTCCCCTCTTAGCTACCATCTAATGGTTTTTTAATGGAGTTAGGTGCCAGATGTGAGATGTGTGGAGGAATGAAAATGGTGTTATTGTTCTCAATCTGAAAAAGTGGTCCTTGAAACATTTATTTAATTAAAAGCTGATATATATATGGTACTTGTTCTTAATTGTATCAACCACATTGACCAAACAACTGGATTAAGCTAATTGCACTTATTAGGTCTATGATTGGAACTTTAATTAACCTTCCATTAAAAGTAATCATTCCACAATTATGCAACAAGCAGTTATAGTTGATCCATCCCTTGATCCTCACATCACCTAATTAATTGTGACTTAAGTTCTAACCCAGTCCTAATAATAATATGTTGAACTGCCTGTTTAATGATTTTTTTTAAAATAAAAAAAAAGTTAAAACAAAACAAATGGGGCTTTCAGCGGATTAACTTAGCCCTGGTACTTGTCTGTGTCAAAATACTATCAGCAGATTTTGAAGGGCTTGAGTGTAATTTTATACTATTACTTTTTAATTCAAAGGTGATATACTTCTTTTGGTTCAAAGGGAGACTTCAACCCAAAAAGGAGAAAAGAGAGGATTTAAAAGATGAACTAGGGAATCTGCCCAATGCTCCTATCATCCAAGTTGAGGTTTGGGAACACAGGCGATTGTATTAAACCTTAGTACTAAAGTTGCAAGAAATCTTTCAAATAATTGACATATTAGTCAAAAGTGAACCAAAATGTGGTTTTCAAAAGTTTTAGAAAAATCATAGTACAACACTCTTTTGATGAATATTTGTGTGTATGATAAAAAAAAAAAATGTAGAAAGGGGTGGGAACACAAAAAGAAGATAGAAAAAACTGTCATGAGGACCATATCACCGACACACACTAACTATCGAAGGCAACAGCTATCATCCAATGTCCAATGCAACTTGTGACAGACCACTCCAGTATTTCCGGTTAGCCAAGACTTAAGTAGATTCAGTTTTCAAAAATACAATGATCCAAATTATGTCACACCAAATAAATTCAATTAACTAAAACTTGAGTCGATTCAGTTTTAAAAAATACAATGATTCAAATTGTGTCACACGGTTTGGTGAAATAATGTGATTCAATTTGAACCATTGATTCAGTTTTAAAAAATACAATGATTCAAATTAGTTTATAGGTACTTAAATTGTTGAAATACTAGATTAATACACTTTACAATATAAGCTACATATATTTTGTAATAACAAAGAGTTTATGACAAATTATTAAGAATGAATTTAACAAATAAACAAATTAAAAAAACAATTTAAAAAATATTAAAATTTTTTATGTAAGTCTTTTCACATCGAAGAGAGACGTTGGCTAGTTTCACGAGAGAAGGAGAAAAAAAAAAGAAAATAAAAGGAAAAAATGAAAAAAGCTAATAGAGGAAAAAAAAAAAGAAAGGATTTAAGATAGTAAGGGTAGTGTTGTCCAAACATATCATTCAATGAGACAAAATGCCTATTATTATAGTTTAGGGAATAAACTGAATATATAGTTTGTGGGAGGTTTTTTTGCATTCAACCCTAATTCAAATTGTGTCACACAATTTGGTAAAATAATGTCATACAATTTCAACCATTGAATCTTTTAAGACTTTGTCTACCCAAATGTGAGCCTTTTCCATTGCCCCATTTTCAAAGACATTGAAGGCAACCATCATCCTTTTGTTTTTGTTGGCCAGGTTAAAATTTTCCATTTTAGTGAAACCATGCATCCAATCAATCACGTGATAACATCGGCTACAGCCAAAAACAAAACAAAATATTTCCTCTGATGTCAAACCATCTTTGTGTTTTTCTGTTTTCATTCTAGCTCAGGTAAACTACCATTAAAAGCCAAAAGCTATAACACAAACAACGAATATACAAGTTCAAATTACACATGATTCACATTTAATACCAGAGTAATAAACCCAACTCAAATACAACACAAATCATAGCATACACCATACTACTTAGTACATCAATCTAATTGATCCCTTGATGACAAACACCATCACCCACTTAAAGAAACCAAACAGACCATAACCCTCCAGCAAACTGATGAAATGAGAAAGATGCCTCATGCTGTTGCTCCTACTTCTTCCTCCTCCTCTTCATATTCCTCATCATCAGCAGTGGCATCCTGGTATTGCTGGTATTCAGCTACCAGATCATTCATGTTGCTCTCAGCCTCGGTAAACTCCATTTCATCCATTCCTTCACCAGTATACCAGTGCAAGAAAGCCTTGCGCCTAAACATAGCTGTGAATTGCTCACTTACACGCCTGAACATTTCCTGGATGGAAGTTGAATTGCCAATGAAAGTAGATGCCATTTTCAGACCCTTGGGTGGGATATCGCATACGCTAGACTTGACATTGTTGGGAATCCATTCAACGAAGTAAGATGAATTCTTGTTCTGGACGTTGATCATCTGTTCGTCAACCTCTTTGGTACTCATCTTGCCACGGAACATGGCTGAAGCAGTTAAGTACCGACCATGACGTGGGTCAGCAGCACACATCATGTTCTTTGCATCCCACATCTGTTGTGTCAGCTCAGGGACAGTGAGAGCACGGTATTGCTGGGAACCCCTGGATGTTAAAGGTGCAAAGCCCACCATGAAGAAATGGAGTCGTGGGAATGGGATAAGGTTAACGGCAAGCTTACGCAGGTCAGAGTTCAACTGTCCAGGGAAGCGAAGACAACATGTGACACCACTCATGGTAGCAGAAATGAGGTGGTTGAGATCACCAACTGAAGTACAGCCAAACAAAAAGTACAATTTAGCAAGTGTTCCCAGTTCAAATTTTGATCCATGTCAAAAGCTTTCATATAAACTAGTCTCACGCAAATACAAGAAGCAAACTAACAACCAAAACATCCCAAATTTCTAGAACATCAGTTAAACCTATGTCCTTGATGTTTTTGTTTTTTGTGTGCGTGCGTGAGAGAGAGAGAGAGAGGGGGGGAGACAGAGACAACATGTGTATGCATTGAAAAACTGAAGTTAATCAACCAAATGTAGAGAGGCACGTTAAGAATGTAAACTGTGGCCGAAAAGAAAATGCCAAAGACCAACCACCACCAACCAAGCACATGGAGCGGCTAATAAGTAACCAATACTACAGTAAAACTTATTACCACACTTAAGTCCCCTCTACCCATTAACTATTGGAAAAAAAAAAAGGGAAAAACCAAAAACCATAAATGTTTAGGAATTTCAAGCCCAAGCTGTTTTACCATAAATATGGGTATTTTTTCTGGCCCCTTCTACCCCCCCCCCCTTTCCTTCCCTCCCACCCTGACTGATCAGGGGATCGGAGAAGGGCATTAACCCCCATCCCCTAGCCACCGGACCATAAATATGGGTTAAAAATGCATACCACATAGTTAATCTTAAAGTCAAATATCAAACGTTAGTAGTCAGCATAAGGACTTACAAGTAGGAGTAGCCAGCTTGAGAGTACGGAAACAGATGTCATATAGAGCCTCGTTATCCAAAACCATGCATTCATCTGCATTCTCAACAAGTTGATGGACAGACAGTGTAGCATTGTATGGCTCAACCACAGTATCAGATACTTTAGGAGAAGGAAAGACAGAAAACGTCAACATCATGCGGTCTGGATACTCCTCCCTGATCTTTGAAATGAGAAGTGTGCCCATACCAGATCCAGTACCTCCACCCAATGAATGACACACTTGAAATCCTATTAACCAACATAAAACAGTAAGCAATACGTCAATCAAGATACAGCAAACCAAAATCTAAGCACCAATATCTAAAATTTCATGTTAATTACATCAACCTCAGGTTAACAAATAAACAACATACTGCCTCGTGAGACCACCACAAAACCATTCCACACATTAGCATAACAGGTAAGCAAGTTAGAAAAAAAAAAAAAAAGCTATTAAATGTCACTTAAATGAAATCACCCCAGATTTTAAATTGGCAATGATAACATCAATATAAAAAATTCGTATATACCTACATCCTCAACAAAAGTGACATCTACCATCTCCAAAAAGCTTCCTTCAGAAGCGTAGATGGCAAAATTACAAAACCCAAATGCATTCGAGTTACGAAACCAAAAGCCAATGAGATAGAGACGTCTGGAAGCATAATTAGTACAAATAGCACGAATTTAGGCCATTTACTGTAAAGGGCATTTCCATATTGTACCTATTGTACAACTAAAAAAGAGAAAAAGGAATAGCCCAAAATCAAGAATCCAAGCGCGCCATTTTCACAGACTTTAAATTAGGATATCACGTGCGTGCACTACAATTCTCAGGTGAAGAACGATGCAAAATCAAATATACACCATAAATCCGTTAATTTTCACAAAACCCAAAAGCTAGATCCAGCAAATTTTCATAACTATCCGCAAATTGAATATAGCAAAAAATGCAGATCTATACCCAAAAACAACATTCCAACAATAAAGAAAAACAAAACCCAGATCTAATTAATATTAACCGAAGTTCCATAAAATTGAAAGAGGAAAACGAAATTCGACCTTGCAAACAATCACAATTCTCAGCTTCTTTCCTAACAACGTCAAGAACAGCATCAATCAGCTCAGCACCCTCAGTATAATGCCCTTTAGCCCAATTATTCCCAGCACCGGATTGTCCAAAAACAAAGTTATCCGGGCGGAAGATCTGACCATAAGGGCCGGACCTGACAGAATCCATGGTACCGGGCTCAAGGTCCATGAGAACAGCCCGGGGAACATATCTTCCGCCGCTGGCTTCGTTGTAGTAGACATTGATGCGCTCCAATTGAAGATCTGAGTCGCCGGAGTACTTTCCAGTGTGGTCAATGCCGTGCTCGTCGCAAATGACCTCCCAGAACTTGGCTCCGATCTGGTTGCCGCATTGGCCGCCCTGAATGTGAAGGATTTCTCTCATTTTCGCTTCTGTTTTTGGTGGTTTTTTTTTTCCTTTTGGGTTGGATTTTCGGTTGGGTGGATGAATTGAGTGTGTGTGAAAGCGTGGGTGTTTTTGGGGAGTGGAGCTGTGGAGGAGAGGAAATGGAGGGGAATAGGAAAGGGTTTGGGGGTTGAGGACTTTTATAGTGGGAATGGGCCAATCACAAGGTTAATGGATGTTTGCTGATGAATCGTGACCTGGATTTGTGGTTTGTTTTTGGTTTTTTTTTTTTTTCATGCAATTCGTGTAAGAAAAATCTTATACCGAAACATTTGACATTGAAATAAACTAAAATGATTCGCTACTTCGATTTTAATTTGAAGTTTTTGCCTTTTCTTGTTTTCTTCCTTTTTATTTTTTGGTTTAGAATCAAAATTTTCTTGTCTTTGAGAAAAGTTCGAAGTACAAGATGGGAAATGACAATTAACTTCATTTGATTTAAGCCCCATTTGGAGTTGTGATTTTTTTATTTTAAAAAAAAAAGCACTTTTAGATATTAAAAATACTTTCAAAGTATTTGATGAAATCATCCCATAAATTTAGGAGTTGAGATTTTGGTGTTAAAAGCGCATTTAGTAAAAGCTCAAATTTAGTACTTTTAGAGTAGTTTTTGTTATTTAAAAAATAAACCATCAAATTTAATCATTTTATGTTATATTATGAACCAAATAAAGAGATAAACACTTTTTAAATTTTACAAATAACACATTATCCAATACAGTAAGTATTTATTAAACTATATTTACAAACAATATATTTAAAAGTACTTAAGCAAATAATAAATACTTTTATTAAATGTTCTAGTAGATAAATACTTTTAAATAATTTACCGCAATTCCAAACGAGTCCTTGGACGTGTTAATGTTAGTCCTATTTATAATTTGGGATAAAGGTTTTTAACGTATCAAATATAAGTTTTTTAGGTTAATTTTCAAGCATACGAGTAACAAGAATATTTCAAATTCAAGTAAGTTATGCATCAAATTTACCAATATTACATGATCAGTAAGGAAACAGCAATCCAAAGTTTTATTATGACGTACTCATAAGCATTTCTTGAGAATTACTGGTTGGCATCCAAATGAACAATTTAAGTGATTTTGTTTTGCCATCTAAATTAGTAATACAAAGATGGAAAGGATTACTTTACTTTTGGCTCGAGTCCCAAGAAGGCAAGAATAGCATGAATAAATTTGCATTCAGATTCTTCCCAAATCTGTGTTGTGTCGGTGTCCATAACCCCATGCAGAAACCTTGAGGCTGACTTCAAAGTTTGCATTAAATAGACCTTCACTTGGCTTGTATCAAAACTTTCTTTTTTTTGGTAGGGAAAAAAAATTTTGCACGGATTCAATTTGGATTAAACTACCATATATCAAGGGCATTGCTCTTGAAATCATAGGTTTTGATAAAGGTAAAATAGTATTCAAATACATGACCTTTTTTTTAAGATATGGCAATTTTTACCAATTGAATCAACTTGTGCTAGCATAAACTACTCAGATATATTTGTAGGGTAAAAAACAAAAAAAAACCTCCCATGGCAAACCTAATATACAGAAAAGCCCTCCGTGATTTCAAAACGTACAACACGACACCCCATATTTTGAACTAAATTGTAAAAGTGACGGAATCCGTTATACTTAACGGAAATGGACGAAATTATCAAAATGCCCTGATATAATTAAGCAAAAGACAACCCAAAAAAATCATTTGTTTTATTCTCTAGATAGAGAAAATTGAGGATTAAGGGGTAGAATAGGTATATTTGTTAAAAATTTGGTATAAAATTTTTTTTTCAGGTTCCAATAATTCATTTCCGTTAAGTTTAACAGATTCCATCACATTTACAATTTTAGTTTAAAGCATGAGGTGTCATGTTATATGTTTTGAAACCATGATAGGCTTTTCTGTGTATTAGGTTTACCACAGAGGACCTTTTTATTTTTTACCCATATTTGTATGATTTCTGTAACTATACCCCTTACTCTACATGGTTGAAGTTAAAATCTTTTTTGTTGAAGTTTAACTGTTTAAGCATAAGATTTTAAAGAATGAATTGAGTTTCTGCCATATATTTGTGCTAATTCACTTCATATTGCAATAACGTGGACTGAGTTTTCATATGTGGAGCCTACCTTTTCAAGTAATTCCTTTCTTATGTACATTGTGCTTTTAATTCAGCTCTCCCATTGCATATACACTATCAAAATAGTTATTTAAAAATGAAATTTGTTTACAAAAGTAAAAAAAAATTTAATTTATTTGTAAATAGTTATTTGTTGGTGTTTGCTTAGGATGGCGACCCGTCTTCATTTGGACAAATTTCATTAGTACGGTGATCAATGCAAGAAATTGATTGCATACAATTGACGCAGCATTATGGACCTTGATTAAGACTGTTAACTGCGGCTGGGGATTGAACCCTCAATTGGAGCCCATGAACTGTTGGACACCAATGGAAAAATTGCTCAAATTTTGTATCAAGGTCTGGCTCACGGTAACAGGCTTTTGTTGCCTAACAGGCTTTTGTGGCCTTACTGCAAATATCTTGAAAATTTTCTCTTTTTTTTTTTTTCCCGTAACGGTATATCTAGTCTAACCTATCCTACTCCTAAGGGAGGAGGGGGAACCTATTCTATGAGAATCGACTCTAAAGAGTGGCCCAATTGAGTCAAAGGAACCTGACGGAGACTGAACCACCAATCAGACCAGACGGGTGCACCACTCATCGGTATGAATTTAGAACATTCCTCATATAGAAGCACATTGATGGGAGACAAGATTTGAACCTTGACCTCCCACCCTACTATTAATGTGGTGGCTAACTCCTCTATTGGGAGTTGGTTTTGAAAGATCTCGAGAAATGAAATTTTTTTGAAACTTTCAAGTTAAGTTCACATTTACTTTAATTTGAAGAGATTATATGTTATTTATGTTTATTTCATCAACAGAAGACAAAGAAATCCTTAGGATGAGTAAATTTATTAAAAAAAAAAAATTTGAGTTGCCACAGTATTAAAATGAAAATGTGTCATCTCACACGAGTTTTTAACTATTAATGGACTTAAACAAATGATTTGAGGTAGTTCTTGCAATTATTTTCGTAATCGGGTTTCTGAAAAGTCCAAGCTCTGCTCAAAAGTCAAAAGATGCAGTAGGCTTTCAAGTTTTTGGGCATGGGCTCGAGTTTTGGGATTGAAGCGTAAGGTTCATGGTTGACTCACAAAGATATTAAAGTTTTGGGCCTAATTTTAGCTTGACCCAACCTCACGTAATTATATATAATATGTGTATAATATTTTATTTTGCCACTATATATAAATTACATATTATGCACGTTGTAATGGATGTAATTATTAATAAGGATACATCATTATAATAAAAAATATATATATATATAGTTAAATATACTTAATTGGTTCAGCTGGGCTCTAATCTGGCTAAGCCTTTTTCAGCCCAAGTTTGCTCACAATTATTTGGGCCTCATTTTGAGGTTTAAGTTCATTCTTACCCAATGATATTAAAGGCTCAGCCTTAATGTTTTTAGGCTGATCTGACCCTATCGACAAAGTGTTTCCGAGTACAAAAGGTATGCAGTCTCATCAAATTTCTTAGACGTATTTGTAATCAATATGAATTGTTATCAGATGATCTATAAGTAGAGCTGTTAAGCCAATCAAGTAGCTCGAAAGCTCGTTAGAGCTCGGCTCGTTAAGGCTCGAGCTCGGCTCGTTAATTTTGGTTAACGAGTCGAGCTCGAGCTCGAAACATGCTCGTTTAGTTAACGAGCCGAGTAAGCTCGGCTCGTTTGATACTCGAGTAGCTCGTTAGAGCTCGTTAATGAAGAGTATATTTGTCATTTTAGAAATCAAAATTATATGAATTAAAAATTATAGGTTTTTATTAATGTTAATTTGCACGAGCTCGAGCTCGTGAAGCTCGACTCGTTTGTGATAAACGAGTCGAGCTCGAGCTCGAGCTCGAGCCACATGTACATTTAACGAGCCGAGTTCGAACACATTTTAAAGCTCGTTTTCTTAACGAGCTCGAGTCGAGCTCGGCTCGAATTAAACTCGAGTCGAGCTCGGCAGCCAAATACTCGGCTCGACTCGGCTCGATTAACAGCTCTATCTATAAGTAAATAAACATTTCATATTGCAAAAGTATTACAAGACGACCTGATATGAATAAGACTATATACAGTTAATGTGGTGTGAAAGGTAATTATAACTATTTGTTGAAAACAACTTTCACACATTGCTCTGTTTGGATTGTGATTTTTCGCAGAAATTTTTTACGTTTTTCCTGAACATATTTTCCAATTACCTTTTTCCAATCATCTTTTTACTTCACATTTTCCAATCATTTTTTTTTTCAATTAACAAAAATTCCTTCTTAATTGATGAATCGTGAGCATGGTCGATATTGGGACGTAGTAGAGGGTCATATATGACTTAAAAAGTACCTCTTCCAAAAAGTTTTGGTTCTAAAAGTTTTCATTTCCTTCTTTTGTTGTTTTCTTTTTTTCTTGTAGGGGAGGGATTGTCAATCCTAAACTTTATTAAAAGAAACTTATGAAGTACAATGAGAAAGACATATAGCTTTTACCATAGTGCTTAATCCATGTATGAAGAAAGTGCATTCTATCTTGGCCTTGCTTTGCCTTATATCATGCGATGGTAAGTTAGTGAAAACTTTCACCGCGAAGAGGTGGCTAATTTAGATAGCTTTTCCTTTAGTTATATCAATTGATTAGCTTACGTCCAAAAAATTAAAAAAAAAATTTAACTTTAATAATTGTATTATAAATTTTAAATTAAATGAATGGATAAATATGCTTTAGAATTTCCAAATTATACATTATCAACTAGAAAATTATGCAAATATGCACCCAAACAATATGATTAAGCACTTTGATAAAAACTTGTATTAATTAAAATACTTCTTGAAAGCTATCGCAACTCTAAACGAGCTCTGATTTAAAATCGAAATACAAACCATGGACCACACCGTGCATACTTCCATGTAGCTTGCATATGTGTCAAGCGTACTTTAAAATCTTTAACCCTTTTGAGTTATGCTATGAAATTCCCCTCCCCCCCCCCTCCTACCGAAA